GGAAACAGCAAGTAGACCTGGAATATTGGGATGGATAAGGATGAAGCCAAGATATTTCAAAGCTCTGTGCTGACTTACTATGCAAGGAAGATAGATAGAACCTGGAGCGCACTTACAGTTATTATCTCAATTAAATTCCACAGGGCATTTGGGTTTTTTTCCACTTACAGTCAGTAATTGAGATTGCAGTGGTTCAATGATTCATGGAGCAGGCATCGGAGCTGTAAGTCTGTGCCTTAAAAATCTGTGTTCTGGAGTCGTCACTAAATGTCACTGTGTCCAAAACCAAAACCATCTGGAAACAGCCTGTGAACTGGTGCTTTTCATAGTGCTCTGCTGTGACAGGTGGTTGGCGTCAACAACATCCCTGGTATGTGTGAGATGCGGTGGGGTTCAGGATACCTGGCCACTTTTTTTGGGGGGGTGATAACATAGATGAAAGCCAGGACCTTCACACTGAGCTACACTGCCAGCTCCCCTTTTTTGTTTTGAGACAGATTTCTGTTAAGTCACTGAGTTGCCCAGGCTGGGCTTGAACTTGCCATCCTCCTGCCTCAGCTCCAGAATGCTGGCATTACAGGTATGTACTCCATGCCTAGCTTGATGTGCACTTTCTGAGGCTGAGACTCATCTCAGAAATCAGGCTCCTCGATCCCGAGCCCTTCCCCAGCCGTGGAAGCTAATTAGAAAAAACAAAAAGAAGCCCAAGATCGACCCAGAGATCCTGTCCAGAGTACTGATCGCAATTGACCTGAAGCTTGGATCCTGGCTTTGGAATTTCCCCATATGTGATGAGGACAGAGAAGAGTGGGAGGAGGTGCAGGATCTGCTTTCATGGATGAGCCACACTGAGTTTTTCTTAGTGCTCTGCATCAGATCTTTGGGATATTAAAGCCTGGAATGCATAATTTTACGATTTTCCAAAATGTGTTCGGGCCTTTTTCTTATTATTCTCCTTTTTTGACTTGTAACAAATCTGGAAAAGGATCAGAAACTTGAGAATGGTTAGTTTGCCTTTTTTTTTTCTCTTGCCAAGGGTACCCTGCAGCTGTACTTTCTATTATTGAGAAAGGGAACGCCCTGGTTAAATAATAATAATAAAAAACTCAAAGGTTATGAGTCCGGCAACAATGGAAACATTCAGATTTATGGATCTGGTGGGTGGAAGGGAGAGTGGCAGGAAAAGAACTGGGAAAGGAAGCAGGAGGACACAAACAAGGCAGCCATGGCACCGTCGCCAAGGCCCCAGCACAATTGCCGCTGGAAAGGTGAGCTGTGGCTGCTCGCTCATCTGGACGTCTTCAGACATCTGGATGCTTGCCTTGCTGTAGATAGGACACCTGGAGGAGTGACTGCGCTTTCCTTTTCCTTTGCTGTACAAAGTTTTGGGCAGCCTATGGGTCCCAGATGTGCTGCAGAAAGTCCCAGGAAAAAAATAAACTTGCAAGCTGGGAAGGAGGTAACTGCGTGCAGTGACTTTTGGCCCACGTGCGGGTGTCCCTTGGGAAGCGTTGCACATGGAGGTGTTTGGTAGGGGGCTGTTTTACAGACCAGCCCAGAGCCAACAGGTTTCCTGTTGCCCAAGGGAATTACTGGAAGCTTTCTGCCAATGGGTCACCTCCAAATCCCAGTGTGTCACCCTCCCTCTCCTGCTGCTCGAGGAGGGTGGCCCGAGCCGACGATTTGCACCAGGGTCGTCTGCCTAGCTCACCACGCTGCTCTGGCTCCTGCACAATGCCTTGCACTTGTAGGAGCCCAGTGGCTGTCCGCTGGTGATCGGGGATACGCAGTGGGTAGTCGAGGACTAGACAGCTGGAAGCAAGGTGTGTTAAACAGGAAGTCAGGTTGGCTTTGAGTCCAGCCCCTGCTTCTTCCCTGCCATGTGACCTTGAACAGGTCCCCTCTTCCTGGAGGAATTACTATGAGATTTCAGTAGGCTCGCTTAGTAGGCACTCGATAAATAACAGCGATTAAATCTTTTCATGGAGTATGCTGTTCTGCCTTCTTGATTACTGGCTATCATAGAGAGTTGCATAGAAACTCCATTTTCTTTGCACCCCTCAGAAATTTTCTTTCTCGTTTTTCTTTCTTTCCCTCCCTTCCCCTCATTTGTGCCCCCTCCCTTTTTTTATACTTCTGGGGAAGGAACTCCTATGCTACCCAAGTGCTCTACCACTGAGCTACATTCCCAGCCCCAGACATGATTTTTAAATATTTATTAATTAGGAAATGACTGGGAGATGAGGAAAGAAAGTCTTTTTAGTTTGGAGGGCCAAATTTCTGCTAAGGAAGGAACTTGTATTGAGGTTTGCATGTTGGTATTTATCACATACATCCCGTCCCCAAAGGGGACGGCGGGAGGGCTCATGGTGACTTAGAGCTTAGATCTTCCTTGAGCCTGATGGGCAGGTTATCTTGGCAGCAAGAGCTGCTCTCCACAGCGGGCATTGGGAGAGTCACACACTGCACCTAGGTAGTTTCTTTCTTTCTTTCTTTCTTTCTTTCTTTCTTTCTTTCTTTCTTTCTTTCTTTCTTTCTTTCTTTCTTTTTTTTTTTTTGAACCAGGGATTGAACTCAGGCCCTTGAGCTTGCCAGGCAAGCACTTATTCTACTGAGCCGTCTCCCTGGCCTTTATTTAGTTTCTTGTCACCCAGTGAGGTACGTGCTGTGGACTAATTCAGAATGACCAGGATGAGTCTGTGAGGGCAGATCTACTGCTGGGGTTGCACAGGCGCTGAGGAAGGAGCTAGATGCATGCCTGAGCCCAGGTAGGTGCCACCTTCCACTTGGGAGCTGGGCCGTAGGGAATTCTCCAACCCTTGAAGTTGGGTAAAAAACTGTGTGTGTGTGTGTGTGTGTGTGTGTGTGCGCGCGCGCGCACGCGCGTGCACATGCATGCATATCATTTTCAAAACATCATGTTATGGTATGTTTTTCTAAGAGACAGCGCAGCCCTGCACTTTTGTTAGTTCCTGGAGCCTGTAATGGCAATGGCTCCAAAGTGTGAAGGAGACAGATCACTCTTTCAGAGGTGGAACTCCCTCCACTGATCGACACCAGGGACCAGCGAGTGTGTAGGGGAAAGTGACTTGCTTTCCAGGGCAAGAACAAGATATTAGTTTGTACAGAGTCAACAAATACTGTGTACCTGCTTGCATGTGGCACTGTGGAAGGGGATTTATTCAGGATCCCATCCCTTTTCCATTTGCCCATTTATCCATCCACCCATTTATCCATCAATCCATTTCCCCATCCATCCATCCATCCATCCATCCATCCATCCATCCATCTTCCCATCCATCCATCCATCCGTCCGTCCGTCCGTCCGTCCATCCATCCCTCCATCTGTCTGTCCGTCCATCCATCCATCCATCCATCCATCGATCCACCCACCCATCTGTCCATCCATCCATTTTCCCATCCATCCATCCATCCATCCATCCATCCATCCATCCATCCATCCATCCATCTATCCATCCATCCTATCCATCCATCTGCCCATCCATCCATGATCCACCCATCGACCCATCTGCTATCCATCCATCCTTCTCCCCATCCTTCCATCCATCCATCCATCCATCCATCCATCCATCCATCCATCCTTCCTTCCATCCATCCATCCATCCATCC